AAGCAGTTTCAACATTGTTTTTCTCTTACCTGGTTAAGTTTTCTTTCAGTTAAACTTCCCTTGCTTTCCTCACCCCATGTGAGAGATGCTGAAATTTTCATTCAAGAAAGAGATACTTCTGATAGCATTATTAACCTATTTAACCATATTAATGTTGGAACTGCAATGGGGTTTCAGCCTATGTTGAGTTATTCGTCACACAGAGATCCAATTATTGAGACAATGAGGACTGCCAAGAAAGAAAGGAATTTTTTAATACAACAGACATCTTGTTGGGAGAAGCTGCCTCAAATCTATCTTCCCAACTAATGGATATCATGGACTTTTAAATGAGGGGGTCACATGTCTTGGAGCAGGTAATGGTGTAACTAACAATGGGTTACACACATTGGGGCGGTGAAACCGCCTTTTTCCCAAATCAATAATGGGGTGCACGGCAAGAACTGTGGTAAGGGCCTAGCTAAAATAATACACAAGCCTAGCTAAAAATAATGATAGTCATTAGTAACTATCCCCCTGTTTGCTTCTCTATAATTGCCACTCTGGAGCCATGCAGCTGGTATCCACAAGATTCTTAACTTTCTCCATAGATAGCATCACCTTTTGAAACCTAAAGGTAGTTGTTATATTTTCCAGTCCCCACATTTCAGTGGATTGGGTGACCCACCCAATGAACCAGCAGCCTATACCAAGAAACCTACTCAACTGGAATTGTGACCCCAGGGACTGAAACAACACAAGAAGATGATTCCTACATCCCTATAATTTTGCCCCAATTAACTTTAAAGTTAGAAATAAATTTTAAATTTTTTTGGTGAAGTCATATCATAGGCATATTTTGTTATAGTTCTCAGCAGTGTTTGCATTTTAACCAGGGGCAATTAAATTCAGTAAAAATTTATTTTTATTGGCATGCCCACCACCTAGAAGCATGCTCAGGGAGACAGACAAATACATGAATTAAATAATCAACACAATCAATATGGTGGTGGAAGCAGGTACATTGTAAATCTGTTGTACAGAAGAAGGAATTGTCAGGTTTCAGTCTGAAAAGTCAGTTCTTGACACACTCATGGCTGGAAAATGACCAGACATGCCAAAGTAAGGCAAGCATGAAAAAGAGGTTTATTGAGGAGAGAAAAATAAAGATAAGATCATAGGGCAAGAGCAGGATGTAGGTTTGCAAAGCATGATACAAATGTCACAGATGACAACTGGACCCATTGTTGCAACAAATGGAGAGCCAAAGAAAGGGCAAAAAGGGGCTAGTAATAGTCTGCATCCTGTTTTATAGTGCCCAGATTGGGACCTCCCCATGTCTCAGATGTCACCACAGAACCACCTTGACTGGACAGTTGGGAGTTGCACGACCTGAGTCTTACCGCGCAAGCGAACCTCCCATAAGCCTCACTGAAAGCCCATTTGCGCGAGTGAAATGCATGCAGAAGCACCCACTTTTATCCCTAGGAGACCCAGAATCCTTCACTATGTATGTAACAGAATGACTAAGCATAATTGGTATAATGGGAAGGGCTTTCTTAATAACTCAAAAGAATTAATATCTCTATCTGTAATATAAAACCTGCAACCCTTATGAACTAACTGCAACCTCACCTGTTTAAATTCAAGTCTCTTCCTTACTTTTAGGAGAATCAATGGCTCCCTCTTTGAGGTCTTCCCACACTGCATTTATAACACACAACCTTTATTACATTATTCTCTGCATTAGAGTCATTACCACTCAGTTTAACAGTAATAAACCTTTACATTTCTATTATATAGTAGATCCTACAAAGTACTTACAAAGTAATTTCATATGTGTCATTACATGTGATCTTAACAACAGCTCTTTAGGTGAGAATTATCTTAACTTTATAAGTTTAGCTATTCTGCTAAACCTCAGAGATATTCCCCAAGATGAGATATTTATATATAGTAAGTGGCTGGCTGCCAGTTAAGTCTTCTAACACTAATGTTCTTTTCCCAATGTAATTATTGGACCATATTCTTTCATAACATCTTACAAATTGAGGACATCATAGCTGGGTCTGAATGTAGAAAATAATAAACCATATATTTTTAAACTTTCTAATTTATCTGTTTCTATATGTTTAAGTTACCAGTAATTTTTATTTATCATATCTCATTAACATTTCTTTCTAAAACCACAGCTCTTTTGGTTCCAGAAATATTCTGTGGAATTAATGTACACATAGAATTTAATGACTTGAATTTTATTTTAAAATATATTTATAAAGGTCTTTCTGCACATAGATAATGTACTGGATCACTTGACTTAATTAATTAAACCATATACTGTTACTATTATGACTGGATAATTTTCTTCAAATAATGTAATCTGAATGATTTTATTCACTCAGTTGTGGTGACTTTTTTTTGTTGTTCCTACATGTGGAATAAATTATATAATTTAAAGTAGATTTGAGTTTAGACAGCATAGTTTTGAACTGCCATTTAGTAGAAACTAGGGCTCAGAGAAGTTGCCACATCTAGTTAGTGGCAGAAGCTTCCCTAGATTGGCTAATGCTTATTGCAGGGGGAGGGGAATCTGAGTTACTATGTAGCCAACTTTCCATTTTTTACATAATTATGAATACCCTGTGTTCATTACAGTAATCTGTCCTAATATAACATTAATAATTATTAACACTAAAATAATAAAAATAATTTAAAAGTAAAAAATAGGACTTTGTGAACATAATTCTCTATGGCATTTCTACAGAGCTTTGTTAGGCTATCTTTTCAAGGTTGTTCTCATAGCAAAGAGCCTCTTGAAAGCTCGAAATAGCAACTCCCTATAGGTCAAAGGACAGATTTACTTGCTGACTAGGATAGCAAATGTTCTTGGAGACATTCTGAGATAATAAAAATACTGTCTTATTCCAGAGGATAGACAGGTTTACCAGAAGTCCCTATATAAGATCAGGATATCCTCATCTGAGAGTTTTCCAGTTGTGACACAGATCCACAGTAAGATGATTATTTACCTGGGCCCACCTCTGCATTGCCTCATGCTTCTTTCTCTTAGTATTATTAAATAAATTATGTTCTAGCATAAATATTTTCTCATATTATCATGAACTCCACATACAGACTTTTATTAGCTATATATACATTTCCTCATTTGCACATACCATATATTTTACTCATTCCTATATAATTAGAGTTTTTCATTTTTCTCTATTACAAATATATATTAATGCATATCTTTGTATTTAATTTTTTCTGTATTTCATATGATTTCTAATAACATAACTATGTTGATATAACACTATAGAGTCAAAGGCTAGATTATATTTGAGATTTTTATTCCATATTACTAAAATGCTTTCCAAATAGTTTGAACCAAGTTTTGTTCTCACTAGCCATGTCACAATGTGTGTCTGCAACAATCGTCTTTTACTTCTTCCCCATTACTCACGATTTTAGCTATTTTGAACTTTTCACACTTCCTCAAATTCCTATAGGCCTTTACACATGTTGTTCCTTTTACTTAGAATGCTGGTGGCATATGCAACTCTTAACCTATAAGATCTCAGTCGAAATGTTACTTTCTCAGAGAGTCCTTCTCTGACTTCCCAAACTACCATATATTACCATTATATCTGATATTTCCTTTTGTGATACTCTTCCCACATGTAACTGCTGTTTTTATTTCTGGCTTAAATGCAAGCTCCATGAGAACAGGGGTATCATTTGCCATGTTCATCACTGAATCCTGGTAAGAGAACACAGCTTGACACACAGTAAGCATTTGCGCATATTTCTTGAATGAATGACTCTTTCTCGAATGAGAGAATTGTCTTCAATTCTCGTAACAATCTAATGAGGTAGATGGGGCAATTATTTGAATTGATTTTCTCAAGGTCCAAATGAGTTAGTAGCAGAGATATAATTATAAGCCAGGTTTTCAGGCTCCCAGCAGATACTTTTTCCAATATAATCAATGTTTCAGTAAAATTCTTAATATTTGTATGATTTAACAATAACATATTTTCATGTAAATTAGGTTATCAGGGAGAATCATGGAAATTCTCTAAATATATTATCTCTGTGTCTATAGCGATGTCTCATAATACCTCTGAATCAATAATTTCCCTATTAGTAAATTCAATTTAACCAAGTCAGAAATTATAACCACAGAGAAAACAATTTATTTTCCTAGTCTTTTGGGGAGCCATGTTGAACTTCATTTTGTTCAGGAAATTAGACCACACACACTTTCATTTTGACTATCAGGCATGTCATGTGAATCATGTGCAAATGAGTTTTTATCAGTTCCTGAAATTGTGTAGTAGGTCTGTTGTCTACAACTTTTAAGTTTTGCAAAGGAAAATCATGAGAGATAGTCCAGCATGGCATAATAATTCCTATTTATCTTCATTTCAGGTTCTAAGTAACTAGCAAGTTCAAATTGTGGTAATGTTTCTTTACCCTTTTAAGAGGAAAGAAAAATGATAAGTTGATATTAGGATTTTTTTTAAAAGCAATTCTCAGTATATGCCACAATGTGGTATAATGGAACTTACCAGGCTTAACAGGATGCTCATCAATGTTACAGAGCTATAACATATGAACTAATGCTCATAGATGTATGCATCAAGAGTGGCCATAATGCAGTTTCAGGCAGCCTAAGTTCTCTAGAGCAGTGGTCTCCAACCTTTTTGGCACCAGGGACCAGTTTTATGGAAGACAATTTTTCCAAGGACTGGCAGGGTGGTGGGTGAGATTTAAGGATGATTCAAGTGTATTACATTTATTGTACAGTCAAACTTCTCTGCTAATGATAATCTGTATTTGCAGCTACTCTCTAGCATTAGCATTACTGCCTCAGCTTCACCTCCCACCATCAGGCATTAGATTTTTATAAGTAGCATGCGACCTAGATCCCTCATATGCACAGTTTTCGGTGGGGTTTGTGCTCCTATGAGAATCTAGCGCTGCCACTGATCTGACAGGAGGCGGAGTTTATGTGGTGATGTGAGTGATGGGGAGCGCCTGTAAATACACATGAAGCTTTGCTCACTTGCTACTCACCTCCTGCTGCAGCCCAGTTGCTAACAGGCTACCAGTAACAGTCTGCAGCCCAGGGGTTGGGGACTGTAGCTATAGAGGATTCGGGTACTATCAACTCCAAGTTTCTCACCAGCATTCCAATAAACTGGGAGCCTTTGCCTTAAGCCCAAGAAATGGGACACCAATTTGGCACATGGTCCTGAAGATAGAAGCCAAACATGTTTATGACTTAGAGATGATAGTTGAAGCAAAAATTCATTCATTAAAGATAAGACTCAACATTTCCTCTTTCTAGCTTCCATCATATAACTCTTTCTTTCTTGGTTCTTAGTTAGATTCTCTTAATTTTGCTTTCATGAACCCCTTTTCTAAAACTTTTTTATTAAATTTTATTGATTGTTAAGCTGTCTTTAGCCCTTTCTCCCCTCCTCTTACTCTGCATAATATAAGTATCCTTTGAGTAATCTTCTCTACTCCTGTAATGTCGATGCTCATTTCCTTAGTGGTAACTAAAAAAAATTGTTTTCAGCCAATACCTAAGGTACCCTGAATATCCTGTGGGTATGCTAAGGTTTTGTCTATGCCTTGAACAAAGTAGGTGCCCAATAAATATTTATTGAATGATTGATCCTTTCCCTGAGTCCTACACCAATTTTCAGCTTATTCCTAGGCATTTCAATTAGGATATCCCACAAGTACTTCAAAAACATATCCCCATTTGAATTTATTTTTTTCCAAACTACTGTTATTTTCTCTTGCTTAGTAGGTACAATACCAGTACCATGTTGAATAAGTGTTTATTGAATAAATATAGTTTTTAAGGTTAAAAAAGTATTATACTTCTTTTATTATCTACGGATGACCATTTATTCAGAATATCTAGATAATCTTTTTAGTGTATACAAGTAAGGCCATGTGGTGCAGTGGAAAGAAATAGGTAGGGAGACTCAGACTTTTCATGCACTGGAAATCAATCAAACTTTTTAGCTCAGCCACTTATCAACAGGATGACATTTATCAAGATACTTGATCTCTTTGTTCTGAACACACTTTCATTTCTAAATGAATAATACCTGCTCATACCTATAAAGATTAGACAGTGAACATGTACATAGTGTCTACACATAGTAGACATTTAACAAATGGTAATTATTATTATAAAAATGAATTATAACTGTACCTTCTGTGTCTCTCCATGCTCTCACCTTTAATTCAATTTCTCTGTTCCTCTTAGTTTACTACTAATACTCTTGTTGGTACTCTGTACTCTACATTGATGTGAAGGCCTATGAAAATAATAGAAGTAGAAAAATATATATATTAGAAATTAAAAACCTAAAGCATTCAATAATAGTATAAATTTGCATTCTCAGCATTGTCTCATTCTAAACTCAATCATTTTTTATATATTATACTTTTTAATATTTTTACTTTTGTTTGTTTGTTTGTTTGATTTCAGCATATTACTAAATTCAATCTTAACTAGATGTTGGAACAGGACAACACCCAGGACTGGCACGGTGGCAGGTATCTGAGGGAACATTTGCGGCTACAGTCGTAGGTAGAATTTCCAAAAAAGAGGGTGATTATGGAACACCTAGGCAAAGTATAAATTTAAAGAAAATATATGTACATGGAAATATATCAAATAACATAGCAACTAAACATATTAAGAACAAATGATTAAATAAGTTGCTTAGAATGAAGTTATATTCAGATATTTCAATTACTCTTTCATAGCCGAAAGCTGTAACAAAAAATAAGCAAGGTCTTAGAAAGATTTAATATAATTACTAAGAATATTACTTTAATACCATTATAATTATCACAGGTCTTTTAAACAGATAATATATAATTCTTTATATGTTCATTTTATAGAACTCAATCATGAACTTGGCCACAAAGAAAGCATTAATAAAATTTTAAATATTGACATTTTATAGGCCACATTCTCAGAACAATCTAATAAAATAGGACAATAAATTATAATAAAAGCTTAACTACTTAAAGTAATAAATTGACTCCTTACTAACCTACAGAAAAACTTGGAAATTGTTGGCTACAGCTTATCCTAGATGAAGATAGAGCGCAGAGTCCAATACCTCTATTATTTCAGGAAAAGATTGAAACTGAGGTACTAAATAATTGTGTTAATACATTAGGAAAAGAAAAAATAAAATGAGACAAAGTAGGAAGAAAAAGTTACTACAAATAAAAGATAAAACTAATTAATAGAAAACAAAAAAAAGTATTAGGGTAGATAAACATATCTAAATTTGGTTCTTTAAAAATAATATCCAAAATTTATACCCATCGAACGCTCCATTAAGTAAAAATAAAGGGGAAGCAGGGAATGTAGCACAAACATACAATTTTAATTGATAAAAAATTTTGAAAACAAAGTGATCCTAAAATTTATAGGAAGGGGAAAAATGTCTGGGAATAGCTGAGAAAACTATGAAAAATAACTGATCACTAGAACAAAATAAAACAAAACACTCCGGCATTTGTGGGAATTGTATATATTAAAACTTAGGATTTAACTTCAGAGAGAAAATAAGGTTTATTTAATAAATGGTTCTGGTTCTGTCTTTTCTGTATGAAAAGACAATTGAACTTATACATCACATCATATACCAAAGTAGATCTTAGATGGTTCAGAGACAGAATGTTAAAATTAAATTATTTGAAATATTTCAACCAACTTTAAATCATTTGAAATATTTAAATGTAAAGCAACTCATTGAGGCATGGAGGTTTTCGAGGAAGGGGCAGGGTGGGGATGTGGGAGGACTCCCTCCGATGTTGCTGGTAGAAATGTGATTTGTTAAGGCTGTTCTGGACCTTTATCATATGCAATGTCTACTTGACCTAGCAATTAGTTCCTGTCACCATCCTATAGAAATAAAAATATCTGTAGGAATAGATAAAAGATATGTGTTCAATAATTGTTGTTGTAACATTATTTGTAATAACAAAAATAATGCCAGAATACCTGGAAATAATCCAAATATCTAGTGATAAGAAAACAGCTAAAAGGATTTGTTATGTATCTTAAATTTTAGGGCACTATCTTCCATAAAGGAATTCAATATCTTCATGTGAAGTGATTTCTGTAACACATCTTTGAGAATGAAAGAATTGTATGAAGGATGAAATCAAGTTGAGAATGAGATGAAAGAAATAAAGAACAAAAATCAGTTTGTGGCAAAATGTGTATATTAATAATATGCTCCCATTTCATAAAAATAAGAAAACCCCCACAAAATCCATACATTTATGCATCAAAGTAATAATAGCACTTTTATGGTGCTGACAGTATTGTTCTAAGCATTTCACATAATAATTTATTCAAAACCTCACTACAACCCCATAAGGTAGGTACTATTTATTATCCTGGTTTTACAGATGAGGAAAGAAAGTCAAAAGAGATCAGTTTCCCAAAGTCACTATAGGTAGAAAGAGTTGTTTGGTGCCAGGATTCAAACCGTGGCATCCTGGTTCCAGAACCTGTGCCCTTAAATATCATGTGTCCTGCTGCTCATACCTGTTTGTAAATGATTGGGTAAGTTCAGTAAAAGTTTTGGAAGGATACACAGGATACACACCAGGAAGAGAACATATATTACCTTGCTTGGCAGGGTGTACATGGGAAAGAAAAGGGGAAAAGAGAAGTTAGGGGGGAAAAAAACCACAACAACTGTAATGTCAAGTAAAATTTCTAGAATTTTATATCTGATCAGATAGTAAAAATACAGTTAAGTAGAACAGACAAAGATAAGAAAAAGGTAGCCCTAAATGAAAATGATGATAGATTTGATGATAGTCTTTTTTTCCTTAGAGTTCTGTTGTCTTAATCTTTAGTATCTGCAGTAAAGTTATTTGTTTACATTATCTGTCTGTCTGTCTGCTGTACAGGTGCCGAGTGTTGTTTAAAGTGGAAGAGGAATACATAAATGATCTTGATCTTTTCAACTGACTATACAAATAAAATATTTTAAATGTTTTCTTATCATTATTTGGGTAAGTTATCTGATTCTTGGAAACGGAATGAACTTTTTCAACTGTGAGAAACTGATAGCCTTGACCTTTAAACCTGCCACCCTTAGACCAACTATTGGCTTGGTTGTGCTCTCCTCATGCCAGAACTCTCTATAGTTTTGCTGTTTTAGAATTTACCTTGTTTCACTTTGTAATTTCCTCTCAGCAATAACATATAGAGAAAAGGGAAGTCAGCTCAAATTGCAAAATTTTGAAAATAAAATGCTGACACATGGTTTAGGCTTCTTATTGCCCAACATGTATTTATAACTTGACTTAAGGTTAGCAAGCCACATATTTATAAAATAGTCCAGGTTCAAGTTCCACAGCTTCCAAACTAATCCACACTAGTATGTTAACATAAAAATCTCAGATGTTGCTGGGGCTCACAAGTTGGTCTCTTATGCTAGATGAATATCTCCAAAAATGAACAGTATGAGATAAGAAATATAAAATTAATTATCTGTTGACAGAAGTGTTTGCCCAGGGAAAATTTGCTCCCAATAAACTTGATTCTTAAAGCAGGAGAGTAAGTAGTTTCAGTCAACATTTGATGAATATTTATTAAGCACCTACTATATGCTAGGGATATAGTGGTGAACAAGACAGACAAGGCTCAAGCTGCCTGGAGCTTATATTTCAGTAGGGTAGATACATAATACACAAGAAAATGCAATAATTGCAGGCAGTTTAAGCACTATGTGGAAAGTTTTAGCATCAAACACAAAGCAAGAGTTTCTGAGGTAGTGAGCAACTGGAGGAACAAAAGGACAGGTGATGCCAATCATGCAAGGCCTTGCAGGATTTTATTTCAACATGATAAAAAGGCTACCTACTGAGAGGTATTAAGCAAGTGAGTAACTAGATAGGATTTACATTTAAATAAAAAAGCACAGTGGTGAGGGTACTCAGTAGGACACTTTGGCTGATCTCATAAGCGGTGGGGGACTGGTGAGGAAAGAGACAAGGATGACATATAGGTTCCTGGCTTGTGCATTAAATTCAAGAAAAAGTAGATGAAAAGCAAAAGGTAATTCCTGTAGTCCAGGAAGAAATGATGAACCAGAGCAATATTGGTGGAAACAGCAAAGTGGACACACTCATTAATTTGCCCTTAGCTCTTCAGCATTGCTCTTATGGCCTATGGGATAATCCTTGTCCATCAGGAAAAATACTGCTTCTCAAAATTTTGATTTCAAAACTTGGGTTCACCACTCACCCCCAAAGCCAGGCCTCTGACAATACCTACATCTACGCCTTCAGCACCTTCTCCACTTGCCTCTCCCTAACCTGGACAACCACCATCCAGAACGCAGTCCCTTACCTCCTGGCTTTCCTTTTTATTTGCTTTATAGCATCTATGCATTCCTTACATGTGCTTTTAAAATTTTAGTGGTTCTTAATTTGTAATCTTTTGGAACTGTATTTTTCACATATCAAATTGCTAAGACTCATCCCTTTTGCGGCAGGTGGCTGCCACCCACTCCATGTGACTGCCGTGTGACATTTCATCACGAGACTAGACCATTGTGGGGCCCAGAATTCTCAGATGGCTCCCAAGATTCCTGGGCCCGCCTAGTGAATGCGCAGGTTATTAAAGCAAGCGCTAATTTAGGTGCCGCTGTGATGGGACTTTTGCCGCTGCAATTAAGGTCCCAAATCCATGGATCTTAAGAAAGGCAGTTTGACCTCATCACGGGAGCCCTTTAAATCTGGGTCTAGGCCAGGTGCCAGTGGCTCACGCCTGTAATCCTAGCACTCTGGGAGGCCAAGGTGAGAGGATCGTTTGAGCTTAGAAGTTTGAGACCAGCCTGAGCAAGAGCGAGACCCCGTCTCTACTAAACATAGAAAGAAATTAGCTGACAACTAAAAACATATAGAAAAAATGAGCCAGGCATGGTGGCATATACCTGTAGTCCCAGGTACTGGGGAGGCTGAGGCAGGAGGATTGCTTGAGCCAGGAGTGTGAGGTTGCTGTGAGCTAGGCTGATGCCACGGAACTCTAGCCCAGTCAACAGAGTGAGACTCTGTCTCAAAAATAAATAAATAAATAAATAAATAAAATAAATCTGGGTCTAAAACCAGAGACAGGGAAGTCAGACATGCAAAGCAGCCGTGAAATTCATGAGTTACTCTGAGATAAATTGCTGAAGAAAGAACTTACAAATCTCATTCCTTTGTTGGAATGTTGTAGAGGCTAGGGCGTGTAGACGCCACATCCACGCAAGTGCCGTGTGTCAATATTGCTTTTCATTGCCACGTACCATATGTTATTTAGAGATAAATAAGATCGAAATGAACATTTAGCGTTGTAACATATGCTTTTCTTCCATATTTGAGCTTTTGAGATCAGCCTGCATCTCTTGTTCCAGAACAATTGCTGCTTTTGAGGGGGAATTTACCCCTCCTTCACCGTTTCATGTGTCCCTCCTGCTTTGAATTCTAGTGACGTCGACCTCTGATATAAACATGGTTTGAGGTGTTTAAAAAACAAAACTTTAACAATTTCCTAATTGTCAAACGTTGTTTTCATTAAAGATGTTTAAATCATTAAAAACAACAACAACAACAAAAAAAAAAAACTTGGGTTCATTTAACAGAAATAAATAGTGAAGTGAGAATGGGATCAGACAGTAGAGACTATCTCAGTAACTCACAGTTCCACAGCTGCTCAACATGTATCACCTGCACAGTTCACTCTTAAAACCTTCATTTTTCTTAATTATATATTTGACTACACCAATAATTAGTTAAAACCTCACTTTCTTAATTCCATTCTAACATTCTAATTTAAAACCAGAAGTCTTTTGTTGGCTGTCAGCGTTATACTCAGAAACAATGTGCCTAGGAAAAAGTCATTTATCCTCTCTGAGCCCGTTTCCTTACCTGTAAAATGGGAGTAACATTATGTGGGAGATCACTCTCAGATTGACATAAAATGTGGATGTACTGTGCAACTGATGATATGGTATTCAAATAGAAAGCACAATTATTATTTTTCTAACTTCATAAATTCTTACTTCAAATTGAAAAATGCTCTTCTTTTTTTATACCTTAATTGAATAAACCTAGAATATTCTCATGCCACATATACAAAACTGACACTAATGACCCACAATTAGTAGGGAATGTGCTTTCAGCGGTTTTTCCATTCTTGCAATTGTGTTGTAGTCATCTAACCACACTCTCCGCTTGTCCCTATTTGCCTTCTGAGGAAAGATGTACATTTTTGAGATAACTGTGAGAGAATCTCAGATTAGAAAATTATTCTAATGAAGCAGTTCTCAGAGTGTGGTCCAAGGACCAGTGGGAACCCTTTCAGTAGTTCATAAGGTTTTTCCTTTTCCATTACATATCTCTGCAATGCTGTTTTTCTTACACACACACACACACACACACATATATATATATATATTCAGATAGAGTCTTTCTCTGTCACCAAGGCTAGAGTGCAGTGGTATCATTAGCTCACAGCAACCTCAAACTCATGAGCTCAAGCAACCCTTCTTTCTCAGCCTCTTGAGTAGCTGGACTACAGGCATGTGCTATGATGCCTGGCTAGTTTTTCTATTTTTAGTAGAGACTGGGTCTCACTCTTGCTCAGACTGGTCTCAAACTCCCATGCTCAAGCAATCTTCTTGCCTCGGCCACCCAGAGTGCTAGGATTACAGGCTTGAGATACCAGCCTTTTCATATTCTTCAACCAAAAAACATATTAAAACAAATTAAATGTAGAAGCAGGTAAGACAATACTAACTGCTATCTGCCATCCTAATAAGCCCCTATTTAACTTGACCTCCACCACCTCTCTGGTTTTATCTCCTACTTCTCTCAATTCCAGACAAACAAGCCTTCTTACTGTTCCTTACCTTAGTTCTTCACATATCTGCTTAAATATCATTATCAGTGAAATCACTCAAAAATAGCAACACTTACCCCTGGCTTTCCCATCCTCGCTTTTCTCCTCCACTTTCTCGTGTTGAATCTATCACCATCTGCCATACTCTTGTTTTTGTATCCATTTTTTGTTCCTTCAACTAGAATGTAAACTTCATTAATATAGAGAATTTGCCTGTTTCATTTACTGTTGTATCCTCAATGCCTAGAATACTGCTTGGCACATAGTAGACAATAAATATTTATTGAAAGAATGAATGACGAAGTCATGACAACAAAATAAATATTCTAATAAAGGAGATTAAACAAGGATCCTTTGAATATCGCATAATTATGTGATCCTTGAGCATTGAAAAAACTAATTTGTAATTTAAAAAAATAATACAGTACTGCCATCAAGGAGCATGGAGCCTAGGGAAAAAGACAGTCATTCAGATGATTATTAATACAATGAATTGAGGTCACAGGAGAGAGAGTTTTGACATCTGACTAGAAGAGCAAAAGGACAGAAATAGAGTACAGGACCTGGGACATCGAAAGGCTCGAACAAATAATCCAGCCTCCTCTTTATGCTTGTAGATCAGCCCTTACTTTCAAACAAAAGTTTCCTCACTGTGGCCACCATGGTGGTGCACTGCTCCCATTTCTCTTCTAGAGAGCACCTGCCACAGGAGTAGCATTTGCTGACAGCCTCCATTTGTCATTACTTTAGGTTCCACCTCAGCTTTCCAGTCAAGGCCAATGACTAAGTGTAACACAGGTACCAGGGGCTGGCCATTTGTGCCCAAGCCAAGCTCCTCTATGGGCAATCTTTGCACCAGAGTTCTCTGCTGGGCTGACCAGGACAATCTCAGAGTTATAGTTCTGAGTATCTCTCTCCCCTGTTCTCTTTCCTTCCTTCTTTCTATAGGTGTCAGACCTACATTGTCCTCCAAGGCTTTCTCTTCCTATTTCTGTTCCCTCCTCACTTTTCTTTCACAGGCATTGCTTCCTAATAAATGCTTTGAGCCTTAGTTTTATCAAGGTTAAAACAGAAATTAGGTAATGCCTCTTCATTCAATTGTGTGGTAATTAAATGGGATAATGCGTTTATTAGCTTGGTACAATGTAAAGTGCTAAATAAATAAAATTATTATGGTTATAATTGTTACTACCAATGACAGAGATATACATAATGCCAAATAGTATTGTGCAGGCCAAGTTCTTCGTCTATTTCTAAGATCTTTCTTTGTTTCATATGCATTCCAGTGTAGTGGCTTTCAAATTTTTTCATGAGGCAGAGAACATGGAAATCACGATGCTCTTTGCCAAATACCATAAAATATAGATACATTTATATCCATTATATTATTAATATATTTAACAAATATTTGGGCACTTATTGTAGGCAAGGAATTACTCAGGGTACTAGGAATTATAATGAACAGGATTTGGAACCTACTGTCTAATTAATAAGGAAAATTTTTCTAATAGAAATACACACTAATAAATGTAGTCAGGTCTCCATGGAAATCTATATTAACTCATTTAGTCTTCCCAAAACCAGATGAAGTATTCATAGAGGATATAATTATGCACATTTTATAAACAATAATATCAAGGCACAAAAAGAAGTAAGATAACTTCCTTAAGATTAAGCAGCTTGTGATTGTCACAGCCAGTGTGAATGTCAGAGCCAGACTCCAAACAAGGACAGTCTGACTTGCCCACAATCTCTAAGCCAATGATTCTCAATCTTAGGCTTGTACCATATCCTTTGTTAGAATGCAGATTGCGGGGATCTATTCAAACATTTTCTTATTCAGCAGGTATTGGGGGGGGGCTCAGGAATTTGCATTTCTAACAAATTCCAAGGGGATGTTTCTATGGTTTGTTTACAGTTTGTCCCCAAAAATTCATGTGTTGGAAATTTGGTCCCCAAACAGTGCTGAGAGGTGGCACCTTTGAGAGGTGATTAATCCATTCATGAACTAATAAACTAATAGATTGGGGTTATCAAAGAAGTGGGTTAGTTATCCTGAGAAGGGTCTGTTATAAAAGACAATTTGGCCATCTCTCATGAGCCCCCTTTCCGTGTGATGCTCTCTGCCACCTCAGGACTCTGCAAAGAGTCCTAGTCAGCAAGAAGGCCCTCACCAGATGCAGCCCTTGACCTTGGACTTCCCAGCTTCCAGAACTGAAGAAATAATTTTTTGTTGTTGTTGTTATAAATTACATGGTTTCAGGTACTCAGTTATAGCAATGGAAAATAAACTAAGAAATATACTGATGCTACTGGTCCTGCTGGTCCTAAGGCCACATTTTGAGAACTACTGCTAAGTAATGATACCTCTTATAAACCTACTTATAATTATGTGGGCCTAGTGACAAATTCTGTTTTGTCTATAAACTTTCTTTCATTTTATGCCATTTTGACATACACTGAATTTGGGGGAAGACAATGTCAAGATAAATCTTCAACAGAAAATTGTACTTTGTCCTACTGGGAGCTTGATCAAGAATTGTCTAATGCCAACAGCCCTAGTATGGTGTTTGAGTGACCATTTGATAAAATATTAGAGTTATAACTCATCAGAAATTATTTCTGTTCTCAGAAAATAGATACCTGTCACTTTTACTATGATTCTACAATTTTACAAAGAAGTGTGAAGGACAAGTATCTCAATGTTTCATTATGCTTTCTAGTACATTCATAGCTGAGCATTTTATATGATGAAATGTTATTTTATTAGAAATTTATTTAAAATATCTTTTTACTTTTCCTTTATATTACATTTGGTACTGTATTTCTTTTTATTTTTAAGTTTGTAAGTAGCTTATATTATATATGAATTTCATTTCAGAATAGGAAAGGATTTCTATAAAATATTTGTTATAAAAATAAAACTTTGGCTCTCATCAGTTTTTTCTTATATGGCTTAGAGGGAGAGCTAGTATGTACTTTTGATGGATAAGTTTTGAGATTATTAGATTAGTGGAGATAAACTAAACTAAAAATCAAGGTTCCTGAGGTTTGTTCCTGAATGTCACTAAGTGGCAATATGACATTAGTGACTCAACTCTCTGAATCTCCATTTCCCAATTTTAAAATGAATCCATTATAATAAGTCCCCAAGATCCCTTTTTACTTACCATTCATTGAATAAAGACTGTTTTAAACTATCTTCACAATGTGCTTAAATGTGCTAATTTGATAACACCCATCAAAAAATTTTCCAACTAAACTGGCTCTTCAATATTGATCAACTGATAAGCATTTTAATGTTTTAATAACCAATGATATTCTTTCCCAGAGATTTAGGAAGGCAATGTTATTCTGTCAATGTATCTTTAAATAGTAAATGTGCTAGCTTAATTATACAATGCCAGCTTTTCATCCTAAAAAGGTCTCCAAAACCTAAAAGTAAGATGTTGACCCTACTCTAGCCTTTACACTTTGTGCCCACATTAGAGTATTTTCACCTCTGAGCTTTCAAAGGTTACTTCTTTTCCCACGTTGAAATTGCCTTTTAGGGCTTAGAAACCAAAAAGGCAATATTAAGAGTATTTATTTTAACATTCAAGGATGCTTCCTTAGTGTTAATAAACCAGGATCTACGGAGGTAAAACGGAATAATTTGAACCTGCTCCTTTTGAATGCTTATAATCTGGTGGAAAAGGTGCATATCTAAATATTTATTTGAGACCAGTGTGATGGGCGCAAACATGCATGTGCTTAAGAGGACAGGGACAATCAATCCGGTCTTGTTGATGTGTCTACAGGGCCTGACACCCAGCAGGCTCAGTGGGAGAAAGGTGCCCCAATTACCAACAACAGCCAGGAAAGTCAGAGACGTTTTCACAGACAAGGGTGATATTGAAACTGAGCAAGGAGGCATGTGGCAACAGTGTTACCTAATAATTGCTGGCGATCAGACTGGCTCACTGGAACAGTTCAGAAGACCAGCCTTAACCCACTAGCTAGCTCCCTTCGCTACTCCCCCACCACCCTCCCCAAGCCACTCCCTCTCTCTGGGCCTCTTGCTTTTCATCTGTAAAACAGAAGGGGTTGAGCAATATCATCTGTCCCATAAAGTTTGTACGTGTGTATGTGTGTGTGTGTCCCCCTCATAAAGTCCCAGGGGGGAAAAAAACCCATGCAACTAACATACACTAACTGCAAGTTAGCACTGCAACTGAGTTCTCTAGTGTGCCAAACAGGGAAACAGCATTAATAGGAAACCAATCAAGCAAATAAAAAAGTAGTGAGAGTTAGAAAACGGAAGGAAGTTCTCACACAGCTAGAGTGGATGGGGCTAGCAAGTAAAGTTTTTCAGAAAAAAAAAAAACAAAAACAACAACAACACAGTTGATAACGAGGCAACGATACCTGAGAAGACTAAGGCGGGAAGAGAAGCAATTGTAAGCTAAGCGAACTCCGCTTGCTAGTTCTCATCTATCCTGCGGCCACTGCCCAGAATCGCAGTCTGGGTCGCGTGCGGACCGCTCGTGGCTCTGAAGCCCTACTTCGGTCACCCTGGCAGCGCAAAATTTTGAGACGTCCCTCTGCAGTAACATCTGTGTCGGGGCTGTCCCCGAGTTGAGAGCCTGGAGAGTGACGGCGCGCTGCCCTGAGGGGCGGGGCCGCGCCGTGACCCCGCCCCCGCCCCGCCGGCCGCCGTTTCCGGCCAGTGTGCCTATTTTAAGGCGCGCGCCACCCGGTTGCCTCGTTCTGGGCCCGCGCGCCCCAGTTTTTGCTAAGTCCCGGCTGCTTCTCCCAAACCCCCGCCAGCATGGGCCCAGGCCCTCGCTCGCTGATCGCCGCCCTCCTGCTGCTCCTCTCCGGTGTGTGCACGGTGCGCGGTGACACACCTGCCAACTGCACCTATCCTGAGCTGCTGGGCACCTGGGTCTTCCAGGTGGGCCCCAGCGGGCCCCAGCGCGACACGAACTGCTCGGTTATGGGTAAGCCGCTGGCGCCCCGGACCAGCTCGCTTTTCCCGCGTCGGCCAGGGTCTCCTCTTTGTCGCCCCTTCTGCCCTTGAGACCTTCTTCACGCAGCGCCCACGCCAGCCACCCTTTGCTTGCGGGTAGTCGGAACGTCTTGACTGGACTCGGGGGCGGGGGGGCCTTGCGGTGCCTCCTGCCACGCCACGGCCGCGAAGTTAAAAGTTGAGCTGCTGAGAATTTTTTAACTTCACACTTTCTTGGTGGGGCCTCAATACTTTTTTCAAGAATTACCCCACCACCACCTTAATTTTTTTTTCCCCCCCTTTGGTTGGTTTGGTTTGGAAAAGAGTTGGGAACTGCAGTCTTGTGATTCTCTGGTCCAGTGTGGCAGGGTTTTGTGTGTTTGTTTAAGTTATTATTGTGCTAGTGAAAACAGATGAGCTCAAAGACTCTGGAGCATATAGCAAGACGTTTTCTCCACTTGTTAGATTGTGGCAAAGGGCCTTTATGCCCAGCAATTTTGATTTGGACATGCGTTAATGCTACTAGTCCCAGAAAGCGTCTGGTACCATCTGCACTCTTTACTTCCAGGGAAGTAAGAGGCAAAAAATAAGCCCTTTCTTCTCTTTCAAGACAATTACTGGAGTCAAGAATAATGCCTGGCTCACCTGATGGCCCTCAGTAAATACCTAGTGTTTGAACAGGCTGGCGGGTATTCCATGTGCCTTCGGATAACAGGGTTACCCCTACTACACAGAATCTTGTAAAGGGTGGGGGAGAAAAAAATGTCAGAAGAATCACAAATTTGTGTAGAATGAGTGAAGCTCTCAGCTGTAATTTCCTTGTCAGCAGAACAATCGTCATTTGTTACTAAAAAAAAAAAACCCATTTAACTGTCTACCTCCAAATGCCTGTATGGCATTTTGTAATCGTGGGCATTATAACCGTTTATTCTTTTATAAATGTTGTTTGGAGATTGGTGCAGAAGGAGATCAGGATTTGCACTGCTCTGTCACATCCAGTCTCCCAGTTCAGAGCATTAATCTGAAATGTGGAAAAACTGTCTAAAGTGTAAAACTCTGCAGTGAACTCTTTTCAGGCAGCAACCCTCTACCTATAAACCTACCTTTGCCCTTAATCCAGTAATTAAAGACATCTGTATTTCTGAGCCCTTTTCTTCCAAAGGTTAAATGTTTAATTTTTATGAGCACAAATTAGTTTTACAGGATAGAAGCCTCCAGTTTGCTGAATATGTTGGAAGGATTCAGATTCTGAGGTTCTAAACTGTAGAGCCATTGTGGAGAAAGATACCTCACTTCTGAGTAGGTTATTTCCTGTCTCTCCTGGACTTAATACATTGTCCTTCTTATAATCTGATAGCTAGTGTTTTTATCTCTTTGTCATCATATCTTTTCTTCTTATAATTCTCACTTTTTGGCTGCCATTTTGTTTTTGTCTCATTTCCACCTGTAATTTTCCACATCCCCCAATTTCTCATTTTCTTCAGTGTTTGGATGATCTGGAAAGTTATGTAGGGGCTGTCCTTTTGGGGGTCTCCCAGCCTGCTGCGCTGCATGGCATATCTATCTTTGAGAGCCCTCACTTTCCAGTCTTGCCTGAGACTCTTTCAGGACTATACGGAGGCAACATGATGGAGACTGATTTCTTCACAAGGCAGACTGTATGCCCAAATTAGGTAGTGTGAAAAGAAAGCAACTCAATCATATAATGGAAATTGGGGGGATTCTTCCCCCGATGGAAGTCCATATAATTTTTCTTTATTGTGCCTTTTCTTTTCTTCAGGACCACAAGAAAAGAAAGTAGTGGTGCACCTTCAGAAGTTGGATACAGCGTATGATGATCTTGGCAATTCTGGCCATTTCACCATCATTTACAACCAAGGCTTTGAGATTGTGTTGAATGACTACAAGTGGTTTGCCTTTTTTAAGGTTAGTTTTGGTGAAAAATCCATTTATGTTTTCATAAATCTAATTTGAAATCTGTAATTTGAAATCCATTTATGTTTTCATAAATCTAATTTGAAATCTGTAATTTGAAATCTGAAGCCTATCCTGATTTAGAGACCCTCAGAATTTTAATTATAGATTAGGAAGATAACCAGAAGTGACACCATTCTTTCCCAAAAAAATGAGATGGCATAACTTTGCTGCATTATTTAAAATTATGGTTTTAGTAGGTTTAAAAAACATACCACATCTATATTTGAATTTATATTTGGTAAGTATGAATAAATTCTTAATTTATTGTCTATATTACTACACCTTCATTCCTAAATGTTGCTATAGTTACTTGGCTTTGTACTGAATCTGTAGGAAAGACATGGAGATTATAAATTTTGTTTTTTTATAGTTATTCTATCCTTCTTATTATTGCTCATTAGCTCTGAAAGATTGGCCTAAGTGACTCATTGAAGTAATATACTATAATATTAAAATGATTAATTCATTTGACTAAACTAAGAAAGAACGTAGGAGTTACTCCTAAGGTGATTAAATTAAAAGGTAGCCCAGCTGGTCCAGCTTGTTTCCTTTTCTCACTAGGAAAAAAACTATTGTTCATTCTTATAACACACTGCTTCCAATTGCAGACACACTATGGGTTAAAATAATTTAGCACAGATTGCAGTCTATCCCATTTTTTCTTCTGAAGTTGCAACTTTTCTTGTATGCCAAGTTTTAATGGTTTAAGTTAATTGAATCCACAAGCATTAAACTAGCTGTTTCTCATTATACACTGATATAATACAAACTTTTTCATGGGAAAAGGCTTACAGCCTTTGAAACATCTGGTAAGAGTTGGCCAATTATAGGGCTTCATGGGAAAGTGAGGAATGAGTCTGTTAAAGATGACAAAAGGCAAAACACCTACAAAGGCCTAACTACTAAATTTGTTATAATTTCTCAAGTGAGTTGTGGTTTATCACCAGGATTTTGCACTCCATCTAAGCCAACCATATTTCTTAGAATAATAACTTCTAGCACTTTTTAAAAATAAGGACCACTCTTTAATATGAAAAAAAAGAAGAAAAAGTTGCCTGTCAACTGGATGGGTTAGTCTGATATTCAGCTAGTGGACTGGTCTGTACATGCTGGCTGTTGATGGCCAGCAGTCCATTAAATTAGTTAAAGCCCATGCTTAACCAGTTGTTAACTATTTTTAATATCATTCCCAGGTACTACGTATTTTTTCTAACAATAAATAAATAAAAGAGTATCTCTATGGATTGTAGTATATATGTGGTAGATGTAGTCAACCCGAATATAATTCTTGGTCTGTCTATTGATGGGCCTAGGCCTTTGTAGACTCTCACAGTTACTCCCTCACAGCCTTTCCAAGGTTCTTTGCCTTCAAATTAAGAATCAATTGCCAATTGCACAAAGGAGAGATATTCAAGGCAATTGTTACCATGTGCCATGAACCTTGTCCATAATTTCCTATCCTTATGATCATGGTCTTTTTTCTCTCCCTCTAGCTCTTCTTGTTTGATGCACAATAGACACTTAGTTGATATTTGTTAAAAAAATAAACATAAATGGATGAAGCAGAATTCAGTTAGTAAATAGACTGAATAAATTAGGGGGTGGGGAGTAGTATATAAATAAGTAAATGGTTTACTCATTTGGCTTAGAAAACTTTCATTCTTCTGCAGAATTGGAGAAATTGATGGGGAAATGTCTAAAATTGTCCTTTAATTACCAGAGGCATAATAATCAGATATAGACAAGGACAGTTTCCTCTTTTAATACTTTTTCATCAGTTTGTTCTCAGCTTACATAGGTGTTCAGAGCTGGTGGGGACAGAGCAAATAGGTAGGGACAGTGGGGATATTTGATGGATGGCTGAATGAGGAATTAGAACGCTTTCTTATTTCTTTCTGAATCAGTGTAAGCAGATTTGATATTTTGCGATTGTCTCAGAACATTAGTAACATTAGGTGAATAGAAAACCACTTTTTTTTTTTTTTTGAAACAGAGTCTCACTCTTTTGCCCTACATAGAGTGCAGTGGTCTCATCATAGCTCACTGCAACCTCAAACTCCTGGGTTCAAGCAATACTCCTGCATCAGCCTCCTGAGTAGCTGGGACTACAGGCACATGCCACCATGCCTGGCTAATTTTTTCTATTTTTGGTAGAGACAAGGTCTCGCTCTTGCTGAGGCTGGTCTCAAACTCCTGACCTCAAGTGATCCTCCCACCTCAGCCTCTAGGAGTGCTGGGATTACAGGTGTGAACCACTCTGCCAGGCTCAGAAAGCCACTTTTTAAAGCCAAATAAAATTACAAGTGTTTTCAACCATAAGTGGGAAAGAGTCAACATATATGCCATTGGAGAGTAGAACCCTGCCTAATCATATGCTTCTCAATGACATTGGTCAAATCTTTATTCTCTCAGAAAGAATAATATTAGTGTTCTTACCCAATTGACTTCAGCACATTTTTTAAGTGCCATTTGAAATAACCATTATTAGGGCCATGTTTTCTTTTCTTGAAGAAAAATCAACTACTCTGGACTGGCCAGTAGTCAGGTTCTATGATAAGGACCATAATTTCATTAAGCAGAGTAGAATATAATAAGGTACTTTTTTTTTTTTCTGGAGACAGGATTTGCTTGTTGCTGGAGCTAGAGTACAGGGACATTATCATAGCTCACCACAATCTCAATCTCCTGTGCTCAAGCGATCTACCTGCCTCAGCCTCTGGGGTAGCTGGGACTACAGGCCACCACGCCCAGCTAATTTTTAATTTTTCTTTCTTTCTTACTTTTTTTTTTTTTTTTTTTGTAGGAACAGGGTCTCTCTTGGTCAAGCTGGTCTCAAACTCCTGGCTCAAACAATCTTCCCACTTGGGCCTAAGATATTTGTTTTTAAAACTTAACATAAATATTTCCAGAAAAACATATTTTGCAAAGTGATAACATTCCATGTTATTTTAGTAAATTCAACTGCAAGAGTGATGGGAAGCAAATTTTTAAAGTTTAAGAAAAATGATAGGCTGGAGTTGACTTCAAACGAAAGTAAAGCACTTTCGGTGACATTTGTTAACATAAAAAATTTGCTGATTTTACCACAGGCATCAGGGTATTTCCCACAATGTGGTGGGGAAACCATGCTAGGAAGGGTATATAACTCAAGAAAAAGCCTATTTAATGAATAAAGCATGTGAAAATTTTTCCTACAGACTTAAAGTATCTTTTAAATTAAAACTATTTTTAAAAATGAGGAATCATCAATCTTAAGTAATATTTGCCATTCAATTTTAGGTGTCCTAAGTAAATTGCAACATAGTCTACTCAACCTATTGCCATTACAGAAATATCTGATAAATTTTTCCCATGTACACCTGCCGTTATTATTCTATGCATTGTTATCCTGCAAATCAGATTTTCAAATCTCTCTAGTGACTTGTACTGGACTCTACTCCTTGCTTCCTTTGACCCTCTTCAGATGTGCTTTCATCCGATTGTTTCTTACTGTTCCTGCTGCTAGAGTTTGCTGAATAGTTGATATTTGCAAGATATTTGTGATATTACAATGTAGATGTGTTTTCTTCTACGGTTACTGGCTTATAACTCCCATAGCTCTTGTAACAGTAAACAGATTGACTTTCTCCTGCCCTCCTTTCACCTGCCCACAGCAGGACTCCAATCTGATAGTAGGTCATGAGACCCTCATTCCAGAGACAGTCTTACCCCATAACCTTGAAAGAAGGAATGTTGCACAGAGAGTCCAGGAAGAATATGAACAGATAGGCCTTGCTGGGTTTAGATCATACCCTTTTTGTCCAATCATATTTCAACACAGTTATTCATGCTTCAGTCATGCCTATCCAATGAAATCTTCATAAAAGACCCAAGAAGATGGGGTTTGGGGAGCTTGCAGAAAGCTGAACATATGGGAGCTTTCAGGAAAGTGAACAATAACTTATCCATGTGCTGGGAGGATGGGACATCCCAACTGTATGTACAGGGACAGAAGTTCCTGCACTTGGGACCCTTCCAGACTTCACTTTGGGTATCTCTTCATCTGGCTGTTTGTTTTTTAAAATATCCTTTGTAATACATTGGCAAACATAAGCATTTCCCTGAGTTCTATGAGCCACTCAGGGTCATGGGAACCTGACCTCAACCACAACTTGAAGCTGATTGGTTAGAAATTCTGGAGCCCCAGACTTGTACCTTGTATCTATAAGGGAGAATTGACTCAGTCCTAGGGACTGAGCCCTCAACCTGTGGGATCTGATGCTATCTTTAGGTGGAAAGTGTCGGAATTGAATTGGAGGACACCCACCTGGTATCTGTTGCAGAATTGCTTGCTTGCTGGTGGGGAGAAATCCCTACATGTTGAGTGGTGTCTTTCCACACCTTGGGATCCTTTTAGGCTCCTGCTATACCTTCTGCTCCCTTGAGCATCCTGTAGCTCAAGGGGCAGACAGCTCCTCATCATTTTCTGCATTCCAACTGAAGCAATTGTGATAGCACTCCTATTACTAGGAACTTGCTCTATTAAGTTCTACTTATTCAGGCCCCATATGAAAGATAAGAATTTTCCATGATCTGGGGTTCCTAAGCCCTTTTTTACTTGGTAAACTGCTTGAGAAATTGGGGATAGAATAGGGATAAAATCTTTTATTTCTTTTGCATGTGACTTAAGCTTAAAAGGAAATAAAGCTTGACACTGAAAGTTTTTTCTTGGTTTATATTGGGCAGGAAGCACTAGGAATGTATTTTTATTTATTTATTTATTTTTGAGACAGAGTCTTACTCTGTTGCCTGGGCTAGAGTGCCTGGCATCAGCCTAGCTCACGGCAACCTCAAACTCCTGGGCTCAAGCAATCCTTTTGCCTCAGCGTCCCTAGTAGCTGGGACTACAGGCACGAGTCACCATGCCCGGCTAATTTTTTCTATATATTTTTAGTTGTCCAATTAATTTC